CCTCATAGGATTACTGTGAGGATTAAATGAGGTAATGTATGTGAATTGCATTGTGCAGTGCCTGACACACAGCACTGAATAATTTTGAGAAAAGCTTTTTTTTTCTCATTGAATTATTATTGAAGTCTAATGAGAAAGCTGTTACCTCATTTTACAGGTAAAGAAGCAGACTCAGAGGGGTTAAATGACTTGTTAAAAGTCAAAAGCTAATGTGAAAGAGTTGAGATTTGAACCCACGTCTTTCTGCTTCTGTTCTTATAGAACTAGACTAAGTTAGGGATTATCCTGAGCCCTGGCCCCTTACCAGCTGTGTGACCCTCAGTTTCCCTCTCTATAAGACAAGATTAGTGAATCACTGTAAGGCTGGAGTTGCCTATTAAATCACCTAGGTTTTCTTTTCTAGATTACTTCTGGAAAAGAAATATTCCTCTTCCAGACATTATGATCTGGTTCCCTGAAGGATGGCACAGTCCTTCATCCCTTCCTCTCCTTTCCAGGATTATGACTACACACGAGCCACTGTCCCAAAAGAATATGACATTCTTGGTGTGTTGGAGAGGAGTGAAGGTTAGGGCCACTCAGCTAAGTGCTGGGAGCCAGGGTTGCGTTATATGTCTGTGAAGGTTGTACACTGCACAATCATGGTGCCATTTCTAGTACGGGACTTGTACCGTTGGACATGATGGCCCTGCCGATAGCCCTTCCTTTTCTAATGCTTTAAAACTTCATGGTTATCCAAAAGTTAATGAAAGGACAAATACCCAAATGTCAACAGTGGATGCGGAAATGACACGATTTAAATTTTTTCCCGTCCCCTCTCGCCCACCCAGTTTTCTGCATTAATTTTGCATGGTTTTTGAACCTGAAATTCCTACCCAAAACCAAGTTTAATGTCCATCGACTAGATGGTCTTTGTGTCCCTATTTTTCCTGGAGCAAAGGTGCAGATAAAGATATTAAAGACTCAGAGCTTCCCTGTGAAGTACACGGGTGGAAAATTGCGGCTGCCTGACTTGCAGGCTCTCAGCAGTGAATTCAGGAATCAGATCTGATCTTGACTTAATTAAAATGATCATTTATTGAGCACTTACTCTATGATCCTTGCTTTAGATGCTTTTTCTCATTCCTCCCTGTAAAATAGGGTCACATGACTCACCCGGAAGGACATGATTCCTGGAGTGTTGGCCAAGTTACTAAAGGAAGTGAGCTCTGGAGTTGACTGCCTAAAACCGTGGACAAGCAACTTCACTTCCTCATTACCTAAGTTTCTCCCTCAGTGAAATGATTGTCAGGTGCATTAAAACACAGTGTCCTTAGTACGGGCCAGGTGCAGTTCTATGGAGTTTCCATGTATCACACGGCATTCTCTTGAGTCTTATGAAGTAGTTGTCATCATTATCTCCATTGTACAGAAGAGGAATAGGCTCAGAAAGGTGAGGTAGCTCGTCCAAGGTCACCTGGCTCTTTATTTAGTGACAGAGATTGAATCAAACCAAAATCTGCCTTACCCCAAAGCCATGGAAACAGCCTCTTAAATCTCCTGAATTCCTTTTTGGAACAAAGCCTAGGATGGGTGGGCCGGTGGAAGGAAGGAGGGAAAGA